GGGGGGGGGGCCCTCGAGGCAACCCGTGGGTTCCGGGTTGGGGGTGTGAAGAGGGGAGTGGTGCCTGGGGGAAGGAGTGGTTTTGGGGTGGGGGTCGCTGGGAGGATGTGGGGGAATGGGTTTGGGGGTTTAAGAGGGGTGCGTAAGGTAAGGGGCCTCTCCTGGGAGCGGGGCTTGTTTGAGCTGGGAGACAAAGGGTTGGGGGGCTGCGAGGAGCGCCCCTTCCTCCCTACCCCAAAAGGTGGGAGCTGTTCAACGGTGGCAGCGGTGCTGTGGTTCAGCATTCCCCCCCATGAGAGAGGGAAAGGTAGAAAGGGCCTCTGCTGTGAGCCCCGGTCTTGCAGCTGTACAACGAGATGCACCGTGCAGCCTCAGCGCTGCCCTTGGGAGGGACTCCAGGCCCGAGGGGTGGAGGGGAAATCCCTGCAAGGAGCGGGGTGAAAGGCTCCCTTCTTCGCATTGGAGGTGCAGGTGGGGCCGTGCAGGTGGCCGTAAAGCCACCCCGCTTCCGGTCTGTGGGGAGGGGCAAAACCATTGATCCCAACAGCAGAGAAGGGGGGGGGGGGGGGGGGCCGTTTAAGGGGCACGGGGCGCTCAGTGCTTCCCTCCTGCAGACTCGTGGACCCAGCGGTGGGTGGAATCGAAGCACAAGTCAGACTACGGCCGCTTCGTGCTGACGGCCGGCAAGTTCTACGGTGATGCTGAGAAGGATAAAGGTGAGGCCTCCCCCTGACTTTGGGGGCCGTCGGTGCTCGTTCTGGGGGATGCTGGCTCATGGCAGTCTCTGGGTGCCCCCCCAGGGATCCAGACCAGCCAGGATGCTCGTTTCTACGCCCTCTCGTCCCGTTTCGAGCCCTTCAGTAACCGGGACAAGACGCTGGTGGTGCAGTTCACTGTCAAACACGAGCAGAACATCGACTGCGGTGGTGGCTATGTCAAGCTCTTTCCTGCCAGCCTGAACCAGGAGGACATGCACGGCGACTCTGAGTATAACATCATGTTTGGTGCGGCTCTGCTCACCCCCTGTGTCCCTCTGGCAGCTTCAGGCCCCCCTCCCCTCACTGTCCTGTGTCCCCCTCGCAGGCCCTGATATCTGCGGACCCGGCACAAAGAAAGTTCACGTTATCTTTAACTACAAAGGCAAGAACGTGCTCATCAACAAGGACATCCGCTGCAAGGTGGGTTGGGGGCTGCAGGAGGGCCTGGTCGGCTGGGGGGTCGCATCCCAGCCCCGCTGAGCGTCTGCTCCCTGCAGGATGATGAATTCACCCACCTCTACACCCTGATCGTCCGACCTGACAACACCTACGAGGTGAAGATCGACAACAGTAAGGTGGAATCGGGGAGCCTGGAGGATGACTGGGATTTCCTGCCTCCTAAGAAGATCAAGGATCCCGAGGCCAAGAAACCCGATGACTGGGATGAGCGTGCCAAGATTGACGACCCTGAGGACTCCAAACCTGAGGTGGGGGGCTGTTGAGGGGGGGGAGGTGAAGGGGGGGGGGGGGCTGTGACAGTCCACTGAACCTTTCTGCTGCCCTCTTCAGGACTGGGATAAACCCGAACACATCCCTGACCCCGATGCCAAGAAGCCGGAGGACTGGGATGAAGAGATGGATGGGGAGTGGGAGCCCCCCGTCATTCAGAACCCTGAGTATAAGGTGCAGCTCCCTCCCCTGCTAAATAGGAGTCTATGGAACGAGGGGGGGGGCTGTTACCCCCTCCTCACCCCTACGAAATCCCCCAGGGCGAATGGAGACCCCGACAGATTGACAACCCCGACTACAAGGGGAAATGGGTGCACCCTGAGATCGACAACCCTGAGTACACCCCCGACCCCAGCCTCTATGCCTACGACAGCTT